ATATTATTATATATTAATATTAAATGTTATTAAATATTTACTATTATTAAATATGTTAATTATTAGTAAAATGTTACTAAATATTATTATTATAAGCTACTTTGAGTTTTTTTCAGCAGAGATTAAGCGGAGTATAAATAAATATAATCATAATAATTAATAATCGGCCGGGATGTCTAAAATGACAATAATAATACCATGTGGCACGATTTTCATTCCTGGGTGATGTATGATTTCCTAATGGGTCCCATCAAATTGTGTTACGTAGTGTAATCATAGTGTTAGACATCATAGAAATCTGTTTCTGTTTTGTATCCTTTCCTCCCTTTTGATTTCCGAGTCAAAGGAAGCGACGAAGCGTATGCACATTGGTCCAGGTCTGTGCAATCGTTGCAGCGCATGAAGCAAGAGCTGGGAGGAGGAGGAGGAGGAGCTCTGATGGGAGGTGGGACACAACCCAGAGACAGATGCACTGAATCCTTGCCTTTGGGAGGAGAATCCCCTTCTTGCACTTGGCACAACACAGGCCTCCACCTGTGAGGCTCCTCCATCCAAAAAGGCCTGTCTGCCTGCAAAAGGAAGGAAGGAAGGAAGGAAGGAAGGAAGGAAGGAAGGAAGGAAGGAAGGAAGGAAGGAAGGAAGGAAGGAAGGAAGGAAGGAAGGCCTTATTCCCTTCTTTGCTGAGGCTCCTCTTGGCTGGGGAAAAGCTTGCGGAGATGCTCGGCTGACAGGAGGATGGGTAGGTTTCCACACCTAGCTTTGCTCTCTCTTCCCCTTCACTTCCTTCCCTTTCCATTCCTTCCCCTTCCCTATTCTCTCTTCCCTTTTCTTTCTCTTGCTTCTCTTCCTCCCTCTTCTCTTTCCTTTCTCCTCCTTTCCCTTTCCTCCCCTTTTCATTTCCACTTTCCCCTTTCGCTTCCATTTCCTTCCCTCTTCCCTTTTCTTTTCTTTCCCTTCCATTTCCTTTTCTCTTCTCCCTCCTTTCCTCTTTCCTACAATGACAATATAAAGTTATTCTATTCTTCCTTTTTTCTTAATAATAATAATAATAGGATCCTACTGTATAATAATAGGATCTTACAGTAAAATAATAATAATGGGCATTACTGTATTATATTATTATTATTATTATTATTATTATTATTGGACTTACAGTATAATACTAACAATAATTGGATCTTACTGTATAATAATAGAGATTACAGAATAATAATAGTAATAATAGTAACAATAAATTAGGGTCCTACTGTATAATCGATCGAATTGATCGAAAGGTCGCAGGTTCGATTCCGGGGAGCGGCGTGAGCTTCCACTGTCAGCCCTAGCTTCTGCCAACCTAGCAGTTCGAAAACATGCAATTGTGAGTAGATCAATAGGTACCGCTCCGGCGGGAAGGTAACGGCGCTCCATGCAGTCATGCCGGCCACATGACCTTGGAGGTGTCTATGGACAACGCTGGCTCTTCGGCTTAGAAATGGAGATGAGCACCACACCCCAGAGTCAGACATGACTGGACTTAATGTCAGGACTACCTTTACTGTGCTAATTGTATAATAATAGGATCTTACAGTAAAATAATAATGGGTCTTACTGAATAATAATACTACTAATAATTGGGTCTCATTGTATAATAATAATAATAACAATAGAAGAAGAAACAGAAATAATAATGATGATGATAATAATAATAATAATAATAATAATAATAATAATAATAATAATAATAATAATAATTAAATAATAGCACAAACCAGTCAAGGTGGTCCCAGTGGTGATCGGCACCCTGGGTGCAGTGCCTAAAGACCTTGGCCTGCATTTAAACACAATTGGTGCTGACAAAATTACCATCTGCCAGCTGCAGAAGGCCACCTTACTGGGATCTGCACGCATTAAAGATCGAATTCTGGCACAAGCCAGTCAAGGTGGTCCCAGTGGTGAGCGGCATGGTGGGTGCAGTGCCTAAAGACCTTGGCCTGCACTTAAACACAATCGGTGCTGACATCTGCCAGCTGTAGAAGGCCACCTTACTGGGATCTGCACACATGATTTGCCAATACATCACACAGTCCTAGACACTTGGGAAGTGTCCGACGTGTGATCCAATACAACAGCCAGCAGAGTGATCTTGTCTACTGTGGACTCATCTTGTTGTGTTTCAAATAATAATAATAATAATAATAATAATAATAATAATAATAATAATAATAATAATAGGTCTTACAGTATAATACGAACAATAATAATTGGGTCTTAATGTATAATGATGATGATGATGGACCTTTCTGTATAATAATAGGATCTTACAGTATAAATAATAATAATAATAATAATAATAATAATAATAATAATAATAATAATAATAAGTCTTGGCCGGTGTGTTTGTCTTGCCTTCCTCCTTGCGTGCATCCTCACTTCTTCCAATTGCTGACGTTACCTGTTGTGCAAGAGTGACCTCTCCTTTGGCCTTTTCCATTAGTGGTTAAGAGAGAGAAAGGTGTGTGTTGAGGGAATGAATGCATGAGTGCTTTCTCCTCCTTCTCCTTCGAGAGCTGAATCTTAAGGAGCCTCCGGCCACAGGAAAGAAAAGAGCGCATGCCGCATGCCTCATGCCTTGACTTCGGATTGCTAAGCGACCTGGGATTGAGAAGAGCCTCTTTGTGCAACGGAGGGAGGGGAGGAAGAGAAAAAAAAATAACTTGTGACTTTCATGGGTTTCAGAGGACAGGATGCAATCTCAGTCACGGTCTACATAGAGCCCAGCTGGTCGGGAAAAGAGCGCACATGGAAGGCAAGGCAAGGCCCAGGAGGTAAGGCACATTGTTTCTAGGCATACGGATTATACCGCTCTCTCCCAAGGCATTCACATCCGAGGAAATTGTTCTATCCCCGTATGCTTAACACATTATAAATAATTATAATTATCTATATATATAATAATATGATGGGATTTGCAATACCTTCACTTAATTCACCTCCCACAGACCACTGCGAACCCCACAAATGAGGGACCTGGACCACACTTAGCACACAGCCCCCCCCCCCCAATGACCCACTTTATGTCCTGGTACGGATTGCAGGAGGATGGACCACGGATGATGGGATTTGCAGTACCGTCACTCAATCTGTCTCCCACAGATGACTGCAACCTCCACGAATTACGGACCTGGGTCATGTTTGGCACACAGATGCCCCATGACCCACTTCACGCCCTGGAGCCTTTAAGGCAGTGGTTCTCAACCTGGGGTCCCCAGATGTTTTTGGCCTACAACTCCCAGAAATACCAGCTGTTAGGATTTCTGGGAGGTGAAGGCCAAAAACATCTGGGGACCCCAGGGTGAGAATTTATTTATTTATTTATTTACTTTGCTTATATACCGCTGTTCTCAGCCCGGGGGCGACTCACAGCGGTGTACAACATAGGAGAACAAAATTCAAGACACAGTATAAAAACATTATACAAAAAGCATTATACAAAACATCGTCATTACTACGAAAACCATTCCGCGCCGTCTCATCGTCCAAACCACAATCCAGTATCATTTTCCGTTGTTCCATTCCTATAGTCAATTACCAATCATTGCACTTCTTGTTCGAACGCCTTCTTGAACAACCAAGTCTTTAATTTCCTGCGGAATATCATCATAAACCAATGCTTTAAGGCAGGGGTAGGGAACCTTTGGCCCTCCAGCTGTGGTGGACTTCAACTCCCACAATTCCTTGAGGCTCGGCATTGGGCCAAGGTAAGCCTTTGGGGCGAATGCCGAGCCTCAAGGAATTGTGGGAGTTGAAGTCCACCACAGCTGGAGGGCCAAAGGTTCCCTACCCCTGTTCTAGAGCAATATGGGATCTGCAGTACCTTCACTCAATCTGTCTCCCATAGACTGCAACCCCCACGAATTACGGACCTGGGCCATAGCTGGCACACAGACACCCCATGACCCACTTCACATCCTGGTGCCAATAGGAGGAGGCTAGACCACAGATGATGAGATTTACAATATCTTCACCTGATTCAGCTCCAACTTCAACACACCACACTGAGACCCACAGAAACGACTCCGGCCCTGTTTACCTCTCCGAACGTATTCTCCCCTACGAACCATCAAGATTATTAAGATCGTCTGGAGAGGCCCTGCTCTCGGTCCCACCGGCCTCGCAAGCGCGTCTGGTGGGGACAAGGGACAGGGCCTTCTCGGTGGTGGCCCCTCGACTCTGGAACTCTCTCCCACTGGAGATCAGAACCGCCCCGTCTATCCTGACATTTAGGAAACAGGTGAAGACTTGGTTATGGAGACAGGCATTCGACGAGTGAGCCAACACCCTGAGATATGGATGGAGGATGATGAGCAACGATTTTAGTGTGACGACTGACCATTATAGTTATTGATTGTAATTGCTGTTTTAATGTTTTACTGTAATATGTATTATGATGTTTTACTGATTGTATGTGATATTATGGTTGGAAACCGGTCTGAGTCCCTCAAGAGAGGCGAGAAGGTCGGTATACAAAACTTTTAAATAAATAAATAAATAAATAAATGACAGACCTGGACAAAACTTGGCACACATACTCCCCATGACCAACAGAACATACTGGAAAAGTTTGGGGGATACTGACCTTGATTTATGGGAGTTATAATGGGGATAATAAATGCTTTCAGTGATGAATAAGGAATTGCTTTTGATAGTTCCCAAAAATGAATTACTTTGTATTGCCGAAGGCCTTTCACGGCTGGAATTACTGCGGTGTTGTATGGTTTTCCAGGCTGTGTAGCCGGGTTCAAATCCGGAAAATCACACAACACCCCAGGAATGACTTTGCATTGTAAAACCTTGGCTAAACATCACACTATGCTACACGGCAATCTGTTAAAACCTTTTCTGTTGTGACTTTAAAAAGAATGTTAAATTTATTCATCAATGCGCTTGTTGATATTGTGTTGGCTAACTCATCCGTTTGCTCTGCTTGGTAGGAAGCCTATGGGTTTAACGTGGATTCTCCAGAATTAAATTGCAAAATATTGAAAGAAGAAGCGGAGTTGCGCCCTGAGGATTTTGCAATCCCACCATGAGCGAGGAGCTCAATGTCCCGGCGGAGCCGCCTGCATCTGCCTGCTGTGCGGAGCCGGCCGCCAAAGGCATGGACTATCGGGACTGGGTCCGACGCAGCTACCTGGAGCTGGTGACCTCCAACCATCATTCAGTCCAGGCCCTGTCCTGGCGCAAGCTGTATCTCAGCCGTGCCAAACTCAAGGCCTCCAGCCGCACCTCCGCCCTGCTCTCCGGATTCGCCATGGTAGGTTTCTCCCCTTTAGCCCCACAGGAGGCCAAGGTGTTTTAGATGCATTTACTCTTGATATTTCGACAATTGGCATCTCCAGATGATCTTAGAAGGGATCCCGTCGGGTCCGCTGGCTTTGTACAAGACACTACACTTGGGAGGAAAGAATCCTTGTTTGTTCAACAAGTGTAAGGGGTGCCATTAGCAAGCTTGATCTGTGTTTGTTGAGTGGGATCCACCCATTAGTATGTGAATCACCACTTGGGAGGAAATAATAATAATAATAATAATAATAATAATAATAATAATAATACAATGCCTGACCAGCAGTGGGGTTCTTTCTCTTCCAGGTGGCCATGGTGGAGGTGCAGCTGGAGATGCAGTACCAGTACCCACCTTTGCTGCTGATCGCTTTCAGCGCCTGCACCACAATCCTGGTGGCAGTCCACCTCTTCGCCCTCCTGATCAGCACCTGCATCTTGCCCAACGTGGAGGCGGTCAGCAACATCCACAACCTGAACTCCATCAGTGAGTCCCCCCACGAGCGCATGCACCCGTACATCGAGCTGGCCTGGGGCTTCTCCACTGTTCTGGGCATCCTCCTCTTCCTGGCTGAGGTGGTGCTGCTCTGCTGGATCAAGTTCCTGCCCGTCGACGCCGTGGTGCCGAGCAGCAGCAGCAATGACACCGTCTCCGTTCAACAGGCTGGGCAGCACACTGGGTGGCAGGCCGCCCTCATCTCCACCATCATAATGGTACCGGTGGGCATCATCTTTGTCGTCTTCACCATCCACTTCTACCGGTCCCTTGTCCGGCACAAAACGGAGCGCCACAACCGGGAGATTGAGGAGCTGCACAAGTTGAAGGTGCAGCTGGATGGCCATGACAGGGGACTGCAGGTTGTGTGAGTGGCCGCTGCAGGCACATGTGTCCACATACTTGCTTGGCCATGCTGTTTCTGAAGTGTGTCTCCATGCACTCGCTCAGCTGAGACTCTTCCGAAGTGTGCCTGTGTACTCGCTTGGCCAAGCCTTTTTCGAAGTGTGCCCCGCGCACTCACTCGGCCGAGGCTTTTCCAAAATGTGTGTCCATGCACTCACTTGGCCAAGTGTTTTTCAAAGTGTGTCCACGCACTTGCTCAGCCAAGGCTTTTCCGAAGTGTGTGTCTGCGCACTCGCTCGGCCAAGAACGAGACACAGACGGCAGCTCTTTCCTACTCGCCAGTGTTCAGCGGTCTAGGCAGCCTCTTTCTCAGTTCGTCTTCATTGGTGGACAATATTTGTGGAAGATTTTGCCTCTCTCCGTATGATCATTTAAAGATGAGCTTAGAGTAGATCATTTAAAAATGAGCACAAGACCCAATGTATGGGTCTTGTGGTTGAAACAAAGGGTGGGTATATGTCACGAACTGCTGATCCCTAGGATGAAGCCTACTCATGTCCAGGGCCTGAAATAGATTGCTTCATTCTCGATCATTACAGTTACTTCTGAGCCTTTGGCGCAAAAAGCATGACTGCGTCCTCAAGCAAAGTTGCTGCTCCTTCTCATCCTGGTCCCCCTTTGTTTGTTACTGAGTCACTAAGTCCTCTGCTTTAGAGCTATCTACATAACAACGCCTCAAATGCTATGGCTTCCTCTCCTTTCTCAGCCTTGTTGTCTCGGAGAGAACCATGACATTATGCTCCTATGTGGTGGGAATATCCAAAGGTAACAACAGCCTTTGGGGGCAAAAATATTGAAGAAAATGGGGAAAAAACTATTTAAATTATCACTTCGAGTGAACATGGATTTGATGCTAATGGTCGTTTTAGGTAACAACAAAGTAAAATGTCAGGAATGATTTAAAGAGATGATTTTATCAGGACAGGCAAGTAGCAGCATAACATTGGAAAGATGGCAAAACATGGATGATGGTAAGCTGGAATCACTAACCTAAGTACAATCTGATATTAGAGCATGTCTAGCTCAGGAGTGAATATTATGCAGAAATTAAGAAAATTGTGCTCATGGATGTATAGAAGTCATCGGTCCGGGCAATGGCTGGAGGGAATCAGAAAATTTTTAATAATAAAAAATTAATAAACATTTGTATTAATAAACATAATAAAAGAACAAGGAGAGATAGTTGATAGCCCTTTCCTACTTGCTAGCATCCGATGGAAGTCTCGACAGCTTTTCTCTGATCTGATTTTTATCTATGGACACATTGCCATTTGTGAAAACCTTCCTCTCTGTTCAAATGTGAACTTTATTCTCGCAATTTCTAAGTAATGCTGAAGGAGTATGTTTTGGTTGCGACTGGTTGTATTGTTATTTAGCTATCTGAGCCAAGGCGTTCTTCTTCTTGTCCATGTCGGTTCGGCTGATTTCTTTGTTTCTGCATTTCATTCGGCCTCTGTTTGTTTGAGTATTTATCATTGAGAGACAAAAATAATTTACTTGTTCTGTGCAATGGGGAGCCTTTGGGAGGACGAGAAGCAATCCATGCAAAGGACTTTTAAAAAGACCAATGTTGTATTTCACATGCAAAGGAACACGATAGAAAGGACGACGTAGCCAAATTGTATGCATGGTTCTAGCTGGGAAATGTAAAAACTAGAGTAAGGGCACATCGTGTACTCGGAAAGCAAAACGAAAGGATTTGTTACAACACATAAGTTTATTACACTGTCAAATATTCAAACAACCACTTGTGTGCGAGTGGAAATACACATACGTGTATAAGGTCACATGAGACAGGATGAGAAATGCTTTGGACACTGATCCCGTTGTGACATCGACAGGTACAAGGTCAGCCGTTCTCAAAAACGGCTGACCTTGTACCTGTCGATGTCACACTATGTAATGGAATTTGAAATAATGTTCTGTTCCACGTCTGAAAGTATTATTTCCTGTTTAATTGTGCAGAACTTAATTCGAAAGTAGTTGTTCTACTCCAATAACTTTGTTTTCGAGGCTGCCATAAACTAGGTTGAATTGAAAAACTAGTGCAAAGTGTGCTATAACGGGACGATGTCCCTCCTGGAGAAACAAAAGTTTTGGCAGTTTAATCAACTTTCCCCATGTTTTTATGACAGAACTCATTAGGAAATGGCATTTATAACCCAGGAACAAAAGCTGTGTCACATCATGTTATTGCCAGAGTTGCAAATAGGAGAAAGCAGCACTTAACCTTGCGGTTAAAATCCTTAAATTATTAATCTTTATAGAGGTAATACGTACCTAATGACTATACCTCACTCCCTTATTTGTGCTCCATTGCCTGCAGGATAAAATAATAATTATAGTGTCAACTAGTAAGTGTATTGTATTTGCATTTAACTCCTCTCTTGATTCTCATTAGTTGTTTGAAGTTGCCTAAACTGCCAGTTAGTTATTAAACTTTTCTAAGCAATGATTGTACTGTTTCTTTTTTTAAAAAAATCCCTTTATATAGAATCATCGAGTTGGAAGAGACCTGGTGGGCCATCCACTCCAACCTCCTACCAAGAAGCAGGAAAATCACATTCAAAGCACCCCTAATAGATGGCCATCCAGCCTGTTTAAAAGCCTCCAAAGGAGCCGCCACCAGAGAATTTACCTCTCTGCTTTTATGATAATAACAATAATTATCATTATTATTACTATCACTATGCCCACCTAAAAGTCCAAGCCAAGTTCCCCTCAATTGCACAATATTGGAAATTCCACAGGTAAAGGTAAAGGTTTTCCCTGACATTAAGTCCAGTTGTGTCCGACCCTGGGGGTTGGTGCTAATCTCCATTTCTAAGCCGAAGAGCTGGCATTGTCCGCAGACACCTCCAAGGTTATGTGGCCGGCATGACTGCATGGAGCGCTGTTAAAGGTAAAGGTAAAGTAGTCCCCTGACATTAAGTCCAGTCATGTCTGACTCTGGGGTGTGGTGCTCATCTCCATTTCTAAGCCGAAGAGCCAGCGTTGTCCGTAGACACCTCCAAGGTCATGTGGCCGGCATGACTGCATGGAGCGCCGTTACCTTCCCGCCGGAGCGGTACCTATTGATCTACTCACATTTGCATTTTTTCGAACTGCTAGGTTGGCAGAAGCTAGGGCTGACAGCGGAAGCTCACGCCGCTCCCCGGAATCGAACCTGCGACCTTTCGATCAACAAGCTCAGCAGCTCAGTGCTTTAACCCACTGCGCCACCGGGAGCGCTGTTACCTTTCCCATAATCAATTGCAAATTCCAGTGCACCATAACATTATTGCAAAGATAAAAATGATGTCACCTCCGTTTGGAAAATGTGAATCTCCATGAATATAGAGACCACGTGAATACAAACGAGCGCCCTCCAAATCTCCAGAATCTTCCTGAAAACAAAACAAGGGGCACCCAAAATATGAAACAAAAACAAAACGGAGTAGCACACCCCTACTTCCTGTCCCCCCCCCCTTTGTCTACTTCTCCCCCCCCCAGTAAGCGTTGAAACAAGCAAGAATCTCATTCCTTTCTCTAAAAAGCTTAGACAGGCCTTCCTTGGAAGCTCAGCGCCGTTTCCAGGAGTTTCCCCCCTACTTCTTCCTGCTTTCCTCCGGGACTGAACTCTGCAGATAATTCTCGGAATGTCATGCAGACACGGCGGCTTGTAATATGGTCGCGATGAATGCCGTGTTTCCACTGGTGGCGGGCCAGGCCGTATAAAACCAACAGCGATCTCTGGGGCAAGCGAATCTCAACAGAGACCTCTCTGAATGGCACTGATTTCGTGGCCAAAGAAGGGTCGGCTTCCTGCTCTGTGGTGCTTCTAAAGTCTTCAAGCGTGTGGTGTTGACGATCCTGGACATCATCGAGGGAACCAGAGCTGTGTGTTTGTTCGTTTTGGAGGAGGAGTAACGGGAGAAGATCGTCCGAGTCGCAAGACATGGAAAGCACGGTCGTGGAAAGCAGGTTTAAGCTAACCAGGCGTTCTCCCCAGAGCCAGCAGTCATCCCAATGAGGGTCGATGGAGGATCCCCTCTCGGGGCCATAATCCAAGTTGCACTGCTCAACAGGGGAAAAGCCCTTGAGCACGGAGAGAGCTCGCATCCGCTCCACAATTTCCCGGCTGCAGCTGGGCAGCCCGGAAAAACCTCCCACTTTCAACTTTTGCTTCTTGAAGTTCACTTTTGGGCCATAGTCCTATGGAAAGAGGAAGGAGGAAAGGCACTTTTCACTTGGATTGATGGAGCAATGATAAAAGAGTTTGAACTCTGACATCAAACAATAATAATAACAATAATAAGGGGAAATTACACACACACAGGGCATAGAGAT